AAATATTTAAGTGGTCTCAAGGCAATGCTAATATCAGGGGTTTTGTTTTGTTTTGTTTTGTTTTTGGCTGCAGTGGGGATTGATCCAGGGGCTTATCTGAGTGTGGTAGGCAAGGTCTGTACCCATTCCTAATCCTTAATTAGGTCTATTTCAAGATATATTATTTTTAGAAGCTTTTTATTAAATTCAACTCAAATGATGATTTCATGTATAAAAACAAATGCCCCAAAATACTAAATGAAAGCTCAACAGTGGCCTGTGTTCTCTCATCCTATCACCAGCAGAATTCTGGAAAACTTAAAAAGAATGGGAGAAGAATCTTCTAGGAAGAACTGCTGTAGTTGCTACTCTTTTGTTTTTCAAGTTCCACACTTGAGGCTAGCCTCATACTGCCCTCTGCTGGCTTGGTATGAATTCAATATTCAAGTGCAATTTTATTAAAAAGCCAATAAATAAATTTATTCATAAAATAAAATGTTTTAAAATTTATTATATTAAGGGCACTTGAAATTAACCCCCAAAACATATTGCAACATTACTTTATTAACTAAAAGATTTCTTACTACAAAAATAATACATGTTGATTAGAGCAAAGAAAAACAAATGAGAAAATGAAAAACCAAAATGCCAACTTTTGTAGAAATAACTGTTAACACATTGATGTATATATATCCTTCCAATCTATTCTCTTCTGTACTGGCACTCAACTTTATATTCTTTCATCTCCTCTTTTTGTGATTTTTCAAAATGCTAGCCTATTGCATATGTTTGAATACGTTGTAAAAATATTCATATTAAAATATGGTCTTCCACACTTTCCATTATTATAGCACCATAATATCCCAGAGATTTTCAACTTAATAATTCTCCTCCTCCAACCAACAGAATTACTACTAACAGCTGTGATTAATACATTAGCGCTATTCCTATTATTATTTATTTATTTATTTATTTTGGTGGTGCTGGGGATTGAACCCAGGGCCTTACAGGCATGCACTCTACCAACTGGGTATAAGCCCTACTCTTATTCTTTTATTGGTAATTGATCTAATAAATGTGTTTTCTTAACTAAAGACATGCTTAATTAATGCTGTCTAATTTCTCTCTCCCTTTATCATCAAAGAATGAAAAGTTAATAGAACCTCATGGATTGGCAAGTCCATAGAAGGACTACTAGGATACTTTACATGTTTTATAGTCAGTTTGGCTAGCTCAAAATTAAAACAAACAAACACAACAACAACAACAACAAAAAAAAAACTTGAAGAGTATAAAAACACTTTTCTGTCTCTTCTCTGGTACATTTCCCTCCCAAAGCTAATTTGAAAAAAAAAAAAATCAAATTAGGAATGTGATCACGAAGATGGTTAGTGAACATGGAATAAAAATAAATATTCCTAAGGGGTATATTTCATGCAAAGTAGGAGAAAGCTTAGAAAATTGTCCTGTCAATGTAGGTTCATTGTCCTTCCTGCTTTCCAAGCCTTTCAAGCATTTTACCACTGAGCTATACTCCCATCCCCTTTTCTTAAAATTTTAAGACAGTATCTGCTAAATTACCCAGGCCTCAGTAGCTGGAATTTCAGATATGTACACCAGGCTGTTTGTAATGCAACTTTAATTAACTAACCAAGATTAAGCTATAGAAAAGAAGCTGACTGGAACATATCATTCTCTTAATTTCAGTTTCTATGTGCTAATGCTCTTATATAAAGTGAAAGCCATGATTATTAAAAATAATTTTTTTTTTTTTTTTGCCTGGGGAGCCTTAGTCCTAGTCTTCTGAACACTCTTGATGTGGTGGGCTTGCACTTTTAAACTCCAAACTCTAAATGCTTGTTCACCCTTTTAAAGACAAGTTTTCAACCCCAAGCATCCCTCCACCCCCAACACATGGCAACAGCATTGAGTCAGACTTCTAACAAGTTCCTCGGGGAAGGAAAACTTGCTTCCTTCTGTCTTGGGCACCTTCTTAGTCCACCATGCCACCAATACTGCTTATTTGAATTCATCACTGAAGTTCTATTCTCTTGGCTTTTGAGCTTTCTGAAAATGCCTAGCTGGGAGGACCATGCCCTACCTATCTCAGCGGGCAAACTGCTCCATTCTGAGCCTGGAGTGGAGAAAGCTGTGACCTTGTTTCCCCTCCTTTGGACATACTCCCTTGCCTTTACTATAGATCTCAGGAGTGCTTCTGCTTAATTATCACATTCCTTGAATCTAAGTCTTTGTAATAAAAGAAAACTCAAGTATGATTAAAGCATAATATATGTGGAAAAATATTCAAGTTCCATTTTAAGGGCTAGAATAGTCCTTAGCATGACTAATAGATGTTCCAGAGGTTTTCTAGGGCTTATAACACCTCTGCCTATAAAATGGTTCAACTGCCTCAACAATCCAGTTATAGACTGACAAATTCTTGTTTTAAATATACAGCATAATACAGCCTTTTTAAAAGTTCTATGTGGATGTCCCGACTCATTTTTAAAAGCATTTAAAGTAGCTTATGAGAAATATATAAATTTTAATAAAATCAGAACCAAACAACAGTGAAGAACAGAAAGAAATGGAATACTAGGCTTGGAGGACTTTTGTTGTTACTAGGGATTAAACTCAAGAGCACTTAACCACTGAGCCAAACACCAAGGCCTTTTTCTTTTTCTTTTTTTTTT